ATATATTTTTTAAAAGGATCGATATAATGTTTCTCGGCGTCAAGATGCATGTGGAGTTGTTTGTTTACCGCCATTGTCATGATCGTTCTGATTCATGAAATCGGTGATGCAACAACCAGACTGTTTTGGTTTGTAACTAGTTAAAGGTGCTTATTTTTAGAAAAATGAGGAACTTCAGTGTATTCTAATAATTATACTTAAAGCTTAGTATATATTTAGAACACTGAGCATTTATGCATTCCATGTATAATTCAAAAGGCACGTAAATTCAACTTTGTGAATATATAGAGAATACTACACGAGCTCTCATTACATACGAATTATACGAAACGAGTGTCCTTCCTATGGTATCTGACCGAGTAATGTTGAAGATCGATAAGCTCGCTACCGACTACAGCTTGTTCAGCTTGACCTGGTCAAGTGACTACTAATGTATTGCGTGACCGTGTCACAATAGACCGATCCAGTCTGTCAATCAAAACTGGCGCATGCGTCAAATTTGGCCAATCAGCAGGCCGGGCGCGCTGTGTGGATTTGTCGGACTTATTTCCGGGGTCAAACGATGCCTCCGAAGCGATGTGCTTCGAATTATGCCATTTACACTCGCTATATTTATTACATATTGCTGCGATTTGATGTGTACCTTTAACAAACCATTACGGTCAAGACAACAAAAATGGAGGCGGATCAAGAAACGCGATAGGCCTAACGATCAGTTAAATGTCTGCACCATCGTTCAGGAAACCTACGTCTGCCTGCTGATGAGAATTTGCACGAATTTCCACACTTTTGCACATGTGCAAAATCATTACCAATTGATGACAACAAAAAAGCAGTTTAAGACTTTGCAAGTGTTATAAACACGGACAATTCTCGTAACTACAAAATTGTTTTTTGCTTAACGTGTTTAGTCACTACTAGGCATTGAGTTGGTACGCCATAAAGCTCAAATGAGACATGCGAGAAAGCCGTGACACAATGTAAACAAATCTCCATTTCGGTTACGGTCAACCGAAATAGCAAAACTTGTTACATGAAAGAAAATGTGGCGGATATTGTCCCCTTCGCTCTTAGATATTCTTCAATTTGTCACACATTTTAGGATGTTTTAAGTTTCATAAGCACAATCTGAAGGCCTACAGTATCTTGTTAACAGAGCAAAATATTCGAGGAGTAATATTTTTTATTCAAACGGAAATATTGTCAGTGTCAGCAGTTGCCTATCATGCAATATCCAAGTATCAAACTTAATTCATATGAGTGCCTATAAAACCTTGCTTTAAATATTTCAGCTTTTTTATAAAGAGTTGCATGGGACTTTGAATTGAATTACCTTCCTCCATGTTGATCGAATACGAAAACTATGTGAGAAGAATAGTGATCGACTTTCTGGAGTATTGGACGGAGTGAAATAAAGTGTATATCTTAATTAGGAGAACATTATTTGAAGTTTTGTTACCACATAAATTATTCACATATATTGGTACATTCTAGGAGTAATATTACAACTGTAATTTTGATTAATTCACTGGAAATGATAGCAAAGTATGTTTTAAGAATCTTGCTTTTTTAGTAAACGTGGAAGGGTAATAAAATTAATAATAATCTAATCAATAATAAATAATTATTTGATTGATTGACATATCAGATTCTTATGATTTTAAGGCAGAACTAGGCAAACAAACACCATACATATCATGGCAGGACAATCACTTGGTATTAACTTAGTTTCTTGGCTCCTGCTTTTAGATGTTTTTAAATACTACATTTACTAATAAGATAATTCTGAAAGTGATTGCTAGTATCATAACTCATTTAAGTTATTTCAACATCCAGAGAATTTGAAAAGCAAAGGCTACGTTTTGGTCAACCCTGGTCAGGCATTATCCAGTCCTGGAACAGAATAACTTACAAAAATCTCAGTTGACTTTTCATGTAACGGAATAAATATTGAAACATATATTTAACCCATATTTGATGTAATTCTTCTGATAAATCATCAGTTTTTTAGGAGGTTACTAATATTTGAAGACTGAGCCAAAGCTAGTGTTTATTAAGATGATGGATTTGGACAAATTGTTCAAGGTTTGTTGATGATTATTTGGAAAATGAGTTTCATATTTAATTGCACACTGGTTTGTAGGAGGTGAACGCTTCAGGACATTTTCATGTCTGTTTTCCTAAACCTTTGTTATGACTTTGACCAAATTTTGAATCAACTTTACTATAATTCTTATGACACCAGTAAGTATCTCAGAAAAGGAAATAGATCAAAATCAGTGTTATGTCCTCTAGGGATATGGTCTCAGATCCAATAAAACAAAGATTATTATTGTTTAATTAAGAAGCAATAATGTCAATATGTAATTGTATTGACAAAAAGCTTTGAACTTAGGATATATTCTTTGCACCTTATTTACACTAGTAGTTAGCAGTTAAACATCTCTGATAAAAAAACAATAGATGTACATTTGTATTTTGTGTAACATTCTACTTCAATGCAAGTTAATTGTTCGGATAACTGTGGATCCTCTGTTCCAAGATTTTGCAGCACATGTTTCCTATTTCTGGAAGATGGGTCAGCTAGTGTACAGGTCCAGACTGTATCTTGGATCTTCTTTGTGTTCTGGTGCTGTGACATACCTGTACATAAACGCTGGCAGTTCATGAAGTCCAGTATTGTGGAAGTTTGTATGTAAATTAGGATTCAATAACAAAGTACATATAGAAAAATAAAATGGAAATGATGATTAAAAAAATTATTTTCTTATATTCAGTGTCATTTTATCATGGTGTACAGATTTTGAAGAGAGAAACTTTACTGAGAATTGCTGCAGATCAGCTGTTGAATATTTGCTTCTGGGTATATCCAGATACGTCCATGGAAACATACTGTTTACAAGCCCAATTACCTTTTCCCGATTTCCAAATAAGATCAAATAGGTTATGCTGTGACTGATTTGTTTACATTAATTATATACAGACAAATAAGGTGCATGAAGTAGTAGACAGGAAATATTTTCTGCTTTTTATTTACCATTCTCTTAATTCATTAAAAGATAGAAACCCATGTTTTCAGATTATTGAACTAAATTTGAACAACGCCAAAAGATAAGTAAAGGCGCCACGCGCAGTATACGTGTTGATAATCTATTTATAGATACCGAAACGATCTGCAACATGAACATGTGGTTGTGTTCACGAGTTTTATAAAAAATTATAAATAGTTACAAACAACAAAATTCAGTTACCCTTCCCCTGCTAATAGCTGTGACGGAGGTGAATTGCCAGATAGATTAATTGATTCGAAAGAAATTACGCTTCCAACAGTCTCAGCAGCTAGTCGAGACGATTTTTCATCGGGCATGTAACTCATTTTCACTCGCCAGTTGCAATCTGCCAGCTAGAATATATTTAAAATCACATACGTATAACTTGCCTCTTTTAATTAACATTCCCAAACGACGGATACCAAAGTATCACAAGCAGAATTCACCAACAACGTTCGCAATCACGTAACGTTTCGCCGGCGCTGACGCCATTGTGATTTGCCAGTGGTTGTCCCCCCTAACGTCAAAAACGAAGTGGGCGGGGCTTATCGGCCGGGACTGGATCGGTCTATTGGTTGCGTCTGTTATTGTGAATGGGTGCACCTTTGTAAGTTGAGACAAGGTCGCCGTTTGACATCTCAGTGTCGAGAAATCGTCAGCAATGTCCAAACTTTCTTTAAAAAAGAAGCTACAGATGGTTTAATGTTTCCAATTCGGGCTTTTAGGCAGCGAGCAGCAGCAGCGACATTTGTAACATTCTCTGCTCCCCTACTTAATGAAGTTAACTCGACCTGCCGTTTGTGCCATTTGACCTCCCGGGTCATGCATATGTAGAGTAGGTCAGGTCAAGCTGAACAAGCTGTACATGACATGTAAACAAAATGGAGTCTGACACTCGAATGGAATTTTAAAATCAGCGAAACTTATTCTTAAAAGCTTAAAACTGCCATAAAAATTGTTAATTATGTTTAAGTTGGGTGTGCAAACGATTCAATGTATAATCTAGTTTGAATAAGGCAGTGAAAGTCGGTAAAATAAATGTGTACATAGTGAGCTCAAAAACAGCTAATCGAACGGTTTTCAAACCCCGTACACTGCATGCGTCATATTATGACGTCATACGACTGTTAGCGATACAGCTTCTCGACGGAGAGTTTGGCGGTTACAGTGGCAGCCGGTAATATGTTTTTTCCAGTTGTCACCCTCCTGGGAGGGGGACACGTAAACGTTTTAAAGCGTCATTGGCCAATGCAATTAAAGTACTTTACATGAAGGTAAGATAATGCAAATTATATTTGGGGAATGTCAATATGACACTCCCTTGTCGAATGGGGTTCTGCAGCAGCACTGAGAGGATTAAATGTATGAGCAAGAGTATATCAAATCATCACTTCCTCTTCACCCTTCAAACTGTCCCTAATGTTGTCCAGGGGTATATATTTGGATTACCTTGAAGTGCCACGACGTCAACATACATGATGAAAGGGGAGGGTAACCATATGTGTATGAACAACTTATTTATTGCATTGTAGTTTCTATCACCATTATCAAGCAAGTGATAAAAGTAATATGGATTGTACAGTACAAACACTTCCTCGCACTCTCCATCCATAGTTTGTTCATCACTTGCCTTCAGCATCGATACTTCGTTCACAAACAATGAATAAAATGAAGCAAAACAATACTATATCATGAGCAGAGTCAACAAGTGTAACGGTTATAGCAGAGATCTTTCTTGAAATTGTCAAAACTTCTACGCGCAAAACATGGAAACTTTCGAATGTGTTTTAGTGTTAAGTTTTACAGACGTAAACATACTTGGACAGAATGTTTGTCGTCAACATTATTCCAATATTTCGTATACTTGATGAGTAATTAAGGATACCCATGAGAGAAGGCCACAAAACGAGCGGCAGCATGCATGTTACCTCTCTAGATGTTATGTTCCAGTTTGATGCAGACCTCTGGCACCTTGTTCTGGGCAGCTTTCGGGATGGGAAACTCTGAAGCCCCCCGGATCAGCGAGGGGGGGTCACACAAAGTGGTGGAGATGGTGGGGTTTATCTTGTACGGAGTGTACATACTGGGAGCTGTGGTGGTCCTCATCAATATGCTCATTGCCATGATGAGTAACACATTTGAGGAAATTCAGGTGAGCAGGTGTCCAGCACAACCTGTTACACTGAAAACATATTCACCTGTTCTTGCAATATAAATCCGCATACAATATTTTTCATATCATATATCACGAGGTACAAACTGCAGCAATTTGTTGATTTTATATTAACCTGGACCTAATAGTAACCATTTTAGGGTTTGTATTTGGTCTATGACAATTATTATACCCAAAACATGTTGTCGGGGAAGAGAAGACACTTTATATTATATTAGAAAATAAAATTCACGTTATGTAACGCAGCTGAGAACATTGCATAGAAAATAATGAGGTAACTGTTCAGTAAGACACGTGCTAGATGTTATCAATTACTAAAATAATCTTCAATGTTTATGGAGGACGTAATGATAGGTATTACTTTACTACCACCCAACAGAATACAAGAAACAGAATAAAAGAATAATAAAAATACACAAATAACATAAACTTTCAGTATGCTAGTTGAATAATATGACCACTTCTATCATATCTAGGACTATGGTGAATTACTAAAAATCGTATGCCGAACGGCAGGTTATTGAATGAGTACACGTATATATAATTAGAGCTTAACAATACTGAGAACATAGCAATATATGAGCAGCTGAAGAAAACAACAAGGTCTACGTGTGCCCACGAGTTTTGTATGTACAGTGACGTTACCTCACATAATATGTACATTGTTTAAGCATTGAATGATCAAAGATAACATGGATTATTTGAATTAAACACATATAATAATTATGTAGAAATACATTCTCTGATATATATTTTGATTGCACACGCGCAAAAAGATATACAACAAGAATTACTTTGCTCCCACCAGCCCGATATATGTAATTTTGATTTACTGAACTTATATAATGTCTAAACGTTACTATATCATACCGTATAATATTTTGATGTACGCTAAATTGTTAGATTAGGGCTACGTGGTCTGACCTAACTAGAATATAAATATTTCCAATCAATACAGCATGGTTTAAATGTTTATATTGGTATAAACTAACAGTATGAAATGCAATAGAAAACAGAGAAAATATGAACATAATAAGAACATACAATAATTGAAGTGAACGTGACTTACCTTCAATTAACAAAGAAAATAATCTATTAGTTGCCAGCCTTTATTCGGTGCATTCCATGTGGGGGATACCCCGGCTAAAGGCCGTAATATAGTCGCACGTTCAACGGTCACTTCTTCAAATGATAGTTTCAAATGCTGCTAATCTACACTGCTGACTATCTGAATCTTGACATTACCGTAGCTTGAAAGACTTGAGAATGCAGAAATGACTAAAATTATCTTACACTTTTCTCGGAGAGCGTGCTATCATAGAGTAATGTTTACTTTTGTCTCCGGACATGTAGTCTTAACGATTAGTACATAAAGCTTATCAAGTAAACTTGCAATCAAGACGAGCATATATCGACACTGACGGATGCATGTTGTCAATGCTAATTAGATTAAAACTTGGAAAATGAAGATCAGTGTATCAACACTAAGACAGACTTTTAGTATTCTCGTTATTGAGAAAATAAACAATATATGCTGTTTAGTCCTATTTTATAAAGTCACAATTAATTATATAAGATTGAGGAAAAATGACATATTTAGAACTATTATAGTTTTGATTCGAAACTCTCTCATTATAGACAAAACAAAATTATCATCACTCTTGGAATCAATATATATTCTGACTCTCTTGTTACCTTCAAAACGCACCCATTTTAATTTGCAGATAGACGAAGATATGGAGTGGAAGTTTGCACGTGCAAAATTGTGGATATCATTTGTAGAAGAGGGCACGACTTTGCCTATTCCCTTCAATATTATTCCGACGCCCAAGTCCATCCTCAGGTTTATCCTCTACTTTAAGACCTGCACCAAGGGAAAAACACCATTAAGTATACTTTATGACTTGTAACTATAGATGTGTCTACTGTAAGATTCCAATATCCTCTCATCTTATGTATGCGTGCGTGCGTGCGTATATATGTACACATGCATGTGTGTGCCGTCCTGTTTTAAAGTATGCTATTGACAGCAACTAACATTATTACAGTATTTTCCCTGTTTACAGTATAACATTGACAGAACCAATAAATATTACAGTATTGCCCTGTTTACAGTATGATATTGACAGCAACTAACAGTATTACCGTATCATCCTGTTTACAGTATGATATTGACAGTAACTAACAGTATTACCGTATCATCCTGTTTACAGTATGATATTGACAGCAACTAACAGTATTACCGTATCATCCTGTTTACAGTATGATATTGACAGATAACAGTAACTAATAGTATTACCGTATCATCCTGTTTACAGTATGATATTGACAGCAACTAACAGTATTACCGTATCATCCTGTTTACAGTATGATATTGACAGTAACTAACAGTATTACCGTATCATCCTGTTTACAGTATGATATTGACAGCAACTAACAGTATTACCGTATCATCCTGTTTACAGTATGATATTGACAGCAACTAACAGTATTACCGTATCATCCTGTTTACAGTATGATATTGACAGCAACTAACAGTATTACCGTATCATCCTGTTTACAGTATGATATTGACAGTAACTAACAGTATTACCGTATCATCCTGTTTACAGTATGATATTGACAGCAACTAACAGTATTACCGTATCATCCTGTTTACAGTATGATATTGACAGCAACTAACAGTATTACCGTATCATCCTGTTTACAGTATGATATTGACAGCAACTAACAGTATTACCGTATCATCCTGTTTACAGTATGATATTGACAGTAACTAACAGTATTACCGTATCATCCTGTTTACAGTATGATGTTGACAGCAACTAACAGTATTACCTATCATCCTGTTTACAGTATGATATTGACAGCAACTAACAGTATTACCGTATCATCCTGTTTACAGTATGACATTGACAGCAACCGTATCATCCATCCTGTAACTAACAGTATGATATTGACAGTAACTAACAGTATTACCGTATCATCCTGTTTTTACAGTATGATATTGACAGCAACTAACAGTATTACAGTATCATCCTGTTTACAGTATGATATTGACAGTAACTAACAGTATTATCGTATATTGACAGTAACTAACAGTATTACCGTATCATCCTGTTTACAGTATGATATTGACAGCAACAAACAGTATTACCGTATCATCCTGTTTACAGTATGATATTGGCAGTAACTAACAGTATTACCGTATCATCCTGTTTACAGTATGATATTGACAGCAACTAACAGTATTACCGTATCATCCTGTTTACAGTATGATATTGACAGTAACTAACAGTATTATCGTATATTGACAGTAACTAACAGTATTACCGTATCATCCTGTTTACAGTATGATATTGACAGTAACTAACAGTATTACCGTATCATCCTGTTTACAGTATGATATTGACAGCAACTAACAGTATTACCGTATCATCCTGTTTACAGTATGATATTGACAGTAACTAACAGTATTACCGTATCATCCTGTTTACAGTATGATATTGACAGTAACTAACAGTATTATCGTATCATCCTGTTTTACAGTATGATAACAGTATTAACCGTATCATCCTGTTTACAGTATGATATTGACAGTAACTAACAGTATTACCGTATCATCCTGTTTACAGTATGATATTGACAGCAACTAACAGTATTACCGTATCATCCTGTTTACAGTATGATATTGACAGTAACTAACAGTATTACCGTATCATCCTGTTTACAGTATGATATTGACAGTAACTAACAGTATTACCGTATCATCCTGTTTACAGTATGATATTGACAGCAAGTAACTAACAGCATTATCGTATGATTGACAGTAACTAACAGTATTACCGTATCATCCTGTTTACAGTATGATATTGACAGTAACTAACAGTATTACCGTATCATCCTGTTTACAGTATGATATTGACAGTAACTAACAGTATTACCGTATCATCCTGTTTACAGTATGATATTGACAGCAACTAACAGTATTACCGTATCATCCTGTTTACAGTATGATATTGACAGTAACTAACAGTATTACCGTATCATCCTGTTTACGGTATGATATTGACAGTAACTAACAGTATTATCGTATTGACAGTACCAGTATTACCGTATCATCCTGTTTACAGTATGATATTGACAGCAACAAACAGTATTACCGTATCATCCTGTTTACAGTATGATATTGGCAGTAACTAACAGTATTACCGTATCATCCTGTTTACAGTATGATATTGACAGCAACTAACAGTATTACCGTATCATCCTGTTTACAGTATGGTATGATATTGACAGTAACTAACAGTATTATTCATCCGTATGATATTGACAGTAACTAACAGTATTACCGTATCATCCTGTTTACAGTATGATATTGACAGTAAACTAACAGTACCTATACCGTATCATCCTGTTTACCGTATGATATTGACAGTAACTAACAGTATTACCGTATCATCCTGTTTACAGTATGATATGATGACGATAGTAACTAGTAGTATTACCGTATCATCCTGTTTACAGTATGATATTGACATAACTAACAGTATTATCGTATATTGACAGTAACTAACAGTATTACCGTATCATCCTGTTTACAGTATGATATTGACAGTAACTAACAGTATTACCGTATCATCCTGTTTACAGTATGATATTGACAGCAACTAACAGTATTACCGTATCATCCTGTTTACAGTATGATATTGACAGTAACTAACAGTATTACCGTATCATCCTGTTTACAGTATGATATTGACAGTAACTAACAGTATTACTGTATCATCCTGTTTACAGTATGATATTGAAAGCAACTAACAGCATTATCGTATATTGACAGTAACTAACAGTATTACCGTATCATCCTGTTTACAGTATGATATTGACAGCAACTAACAGTATTACCGTATCATCCTGTTTACAGTATGATATTGGCAGTAACTAACAGTATTACCGTATCATCCTGTTTACAGTATGATATTGACAGCAACTAACAGTATTACCGTATCATCCTGTTTACAGTATGATATTGACAGTAACTAACAGTATTATCGTATATTGACAGTAACTAACAGTATTACCGTATCATCCTGTTTACAGTATGATATTGACAGTAACTAACAGTATTACCGTATCATCCTGTTTACAGTATGATATTGACAGCAACTAACAGTATTACCGTATCATCCTGTTTACAGTATGATATTGACAGTAACTAACAGTATTACCGTATCATCCTGTTTACAGTATGATATTGACAGCAACTAACAGTATTACCGTATCATCCTGTTTACAGTATGATATTGACAGCAACTAACAGTATTACCGTATCATCCTGTTTACAGTATGATATTGACAGCAACTAACAGTATTACCGTATCATCCTGTTTACAGTATGATATTGACAGTAACTAACAGTATTACCGTATCATCCTGTTTACAGTATGATGTTGACAGCAACTAACAGTATTACCTATCATCCTGTTTACAGTATGATATTGACAGCAACTAACAGTATTACCGTATCATCCTGTTTACAGTATGACATTGACAGCAACCGTATCATCCTGTTTACAGTATGATATTGACAGCAACTAACAGTATTACCGTATCATCCTGTTTACAGTATGATATTGACAGCAACTAACAGTATTACCGTATCATCCTGTTTACAGTATGATATTGGCAGTAACTAACAGTATTACCGTATCATCCTGTTTACAGTATGATATTGACAGCAACTAACAGTATTACCGTATCATCCTGTTTACAGTATGATATTGACAGTAACTAACAGTATTATCGTATATTGACAGTACCTAACAGTATTACCGTATCATCCTGTTTACAGTATGATATTGACAGTAACTAACAGTATTACCGTATCATCCTGTTTACAGTATGATATTGACAGCAACTAACAGTATTACCGTATCATCCTGTTTACAGTATGATATTGACAGTAACTAACAGTATTACCGTATCATCCTGTTTACAGTATGATATTGACAGTAACTAACAGTATTACCGTATCATCCTGTTTACAGTATGATATTGACAGCAACTAACAGTATTATCGTATATTGACAGTAACTAACAGTATTACCGTATCATCCTGTTTACAGTATGATATTGACAGCAACTAACAGTATTACCGTATCATCCTGTTTACAGTATGATATTGGCAGTAACTAACAGTATTACCGTATCATCCTGTTTACAGTATGATATTGACAGCAACTAACAGTATTACCGTATCATCCTGTTTACAGTCTGATATTGACAGTAACTAACAGTATTATCGTATATTGACAGTAACTAACAGTATTACCGTATCATCCTGTTTACAGTATGATATTGACAGCAACTAACAGTATTACCGTATCATCCTGTTTACAGTATGATATTGACAGCAACTAACAGTATTACCGTATCATCCTGTTTACAGTATGATATTGACAGTAACTAACAGTATTACCGTATCATCCTGTTTACAGTATGATATTGACAGCAACTAACAGTATTACCGTATCATCCTGTTTACAGTATGATATTGACAGCAACTAACAGTATTACCGTATCATCCTGTTTACAGTATGATATTGACAGTAACTAACAGTATTACCGTATCATCCTGTTTACACTATGATATTGACAGTAACTAACAGTATTACCGTATCATCCTGTTTACAGTATGATATTGACAGTAACTAACAGTATTATCGTATATGTTTACAGTAATAACAGTATTACCGTATCATCCTGTTTACAGTATGATATTGACAGCAACTAACAGTATTACCGTATCATCCTGTTTACAGTATGATATTGGCAGTAACTAACAGTATTACCGTATCATCCTGTTTACAGTATGATATTGACAGCAACTAACAGCATTACCGTATCATCCTGTTTACAGTCTGATATTGACAGTAACTAACAGTATTATCGTATATTGACAGTAACTAACAGTATTACCGTATCATCCTGTTTACAGTATGATATTGACAGCAACTAACAGTATTACCGTATCATCCTGTTTACAGTATGATATTGACAGCAACTAACAGTATTACCGTATCATCCTGTTTACAGTATGATATTGACAGTAACTAACAGTATTACCGTATCATCCTGTTTACAGTATGATATTGACATGATAACTAACAGTATTACCGTATCATCCTGTTTACAGTATGATATTGACAGCAACTAACAGTATTACCGTATCATCCTGTTTACAGTATGATATTGACAGTAACTAACAGTATTACCGTATCATCCTGTTTACAGTATGATATTGACAGCAACTAACAGTATTACCGTATCATCCTGTTTACAGTATGATATTGACAGTAACTAACAGTATTACCGTATCATCCTGTTTACAGTATGATATTGACAGTAACTAACAGTATTACCGTATCATCCTGTTTACACTATGATATTGACAGTAACTAACAGTATTACCGTATCATCCTGTTTACAGTATGATATTGACAGTAACTAACAGTATTACCGTATCATCCTGTTTACAGTATGATATTGACTGTAACTAACAGTATTACCGTATCATCCTGTTCACAGTATGACACTGACAGAGACAATAAGTATTGCTGTATAATTCCTGTTTACAGTTTGACAGTGAAGAATCGGGGAATGATGACGATGGATTTGAGTTCGATTATAAGGTGAGATACGTTTCAGGAGATCTTTAGGTCAGATATTCTGATATGATTAAAGGGAATATACTGTATGCCAGTGAGTCAAGTTTGGTTTGAGCAGTGTATAACTGGAGAACTGTTTTATAGTCATAACTTAGAAGTTATCAAGTGACAAAGCAGACACAAGTTATGGATAACGCTTTTATTTACTATTTTAAGTATAGTAGTGTAAAAAAGACGTTGTTATCTGGTTTGTCGAGATTATAGAAAATCCTATGTGTTATTACTACTTGAAATATTATAAGGGGTTCATCTGCGAATCGTTACAGATGTGCGTAAAATAAAATTAACATGGTTATGTTTCATATTGTTTACTGTATATCTCAATGATTTCGGAATATTTTTAATAACCTGTAAGAAGATTTTCGAGTTGCATGTGTTTTTCGTGCTACCGTTGAAAAAAAGGCATTAAACGTGCCCTTGAATCAATTGTCCTCCAAATCGCCATATGCCGCTTGTGAAGGCACAACGAAACGCCGTCGTTGCAGACCGTCCCCGAAGTGACCGTCCACCTGTAACCATGCCACGCAACGATCGTTGGATTCGAACCATCCATCTAGCCTCACTGACAGCCCGAACAGTTTCTGGTGTCAACAGGATATCGCCGAGGACCCATTCGCCGACGTCTGGCTTCACACGGTATACGTGCTAGACGTTCTGCCAGATGACAAATTTTGACATTACGTCACCAACGTCTACGACTGCAGTGGTGCAGACAACATCTGCGGTGGAAAGCACGTGAATGGAGAAATGTTCTCTTCACTGACGAGTCCAGATTCCGCTTGCATCGCGCTGATGGTCAAACCCATACCGGCGACGTGGTGACCGTTATGTTAGGAACTGTGTCCTTGAGGCAGACCGTTTGGGCCGCGGTGGAGTGATGGTTATGGGTGGGATAACGAGTAATGCACGTACACCTTTGCTTGTAAGTGGAAATGTAACGCGTCTCAGGTACACAGACGAAATTGTTAATGCAGTCGTCCAGCAGAATGGTCCAGGAATGATCTTCCAGTTGGACAACGCCAGACCTCATGTCGCCAGGGTGGTTCAGAAGTTAATGGCGAGGCACAATGTTAACGTCCTTCCCTGGCCCGATAAATCCCCAGATCTGTCCCCTATCGAACACGTCTGGGACGAAATGGAGAGGAGATTACGACGTTGGCCAAACCACCCAGTCACGCTTCAGGAACTCCGCCAGGTGGTTCCACAAAGAGGGAATGCCATTTACAAAACTTCTTGCGACGTTTGATTGGCTCTATGAGGCGCTGATGTCAAGCAGGCATCAATGCTCATGATGGACATACACGTTCATGACTGTGTGAATTTAATTTTGGCCGTTCTCTCACTGTGACCTTATTAACATGAATCCGCCAGAAAAGTTTAAAATTTGTCATTTGCAATCCTATTGCGGAATGATTTTCTTGCAATATTAAAAAAAGTCTCATCATGAAAATATCAGTGGTTGATTCACATATCTAACTTCAAGTCAATCACAATAACTTTTGCCTTTAAGTATAATTACTCTGGCTACTGAACGTTAGAACTAATTGTGATCTGTTTTCAGGCAATAATGCATAAAGTGGTTCTGCGCTATGTCCACAAGATAAAGTTCGAAAAGAAAGGAGAAACACTCAAGGACGGTGAGACCTTCTTATTACTGATTACCTGTGAAGATCCGGGTTAGAACTGATCTTCAGTAACCCATGCTTGTCGTAAGAGGCGACTAACTGGATTGGGTGGTCAGGCTCGCTGACTTGGTTGACACATGTCTTCGGTTCCCAATTGCGCAGATCGATGCTCATGCTGTTGATGACTGGATTGTCTTGTCTAGACTCGATTATTTACAGCCCGCCGCCATATAGCTGGAATATTGCTGAGTGCGGCGTAAAAATAAACTAATTCACTTAAGGAAGGTTTTGTTAATTTGGTTTCCTTGATATTGAACACAACGTGAGTGCAACGTTTCGATAGATTCTTGTACCGTTGTCAAGCAACAAGTTGTTATCCATAAAGTTTGTTCAGTGTTGTTTGTCCCAACTTCTTAAATGCCACTCAAAGTGGTTTTCTTGACATGGGAACAAACAAACAGAGATATTTCAATCATTAACAATATATAATGATTGTCCCTTCAAGTAATAGAGTGATCCCTTCGGCCATGGCTTTAATAAGGAGATGATTAAGTCGAGTTCAGCTAATCATGTGGTTACGACTGATCACTTTGCTTTCAATAAAGTACTTTGTCACGGTTGACAAAGAGCTCCTATGTGACAAATTAAGCATCCGATACGAAAGTTTTAAAGCTCTAAACTGAAAACGGATATGTTTCCATATATTTCAGACATAACTGAAGCCAAGGACGAGGTGTTAAACCAGTTAAAAGGCTTTTACAGTAAAATATCAACAAGAATGGACGCATTGGAGAAAACTATCCATGAAGTCAAACACTCCGTTGAGATCAAAGCAGCGGAGCCGCCCTCAACCCATCAGCCGCAACCACCGTCTCATTCCATCAACAGCCCTGCTACTGTACATAAACATGGAGGTGCTCGTGCTGACGTTACATCTCCTAACGTTGTCAGAAAGAGTCCACAACTAGCAAGACCCGACTCAAGATCCCGAGAAACACGTGTTGGGGTCCAGATAAAAGCGGGTCCTCAAGGGCCTGGAAATACTGTGAGCCACCCACAAGGACGACCAGAGCCCAGAGGACATGGTGTCAACGAATACAATCATCCCAGAGGTCGAGAGTCGATGAGACAAAGTCCGAGTGCTTTGGGGAGTAGAAGGACACTATCCCGAGAGAACATGCCAGAGAACAAGAGAAACAGTGTGATTAGAAGGACACCATCTCTTGAGCGCAGGCCCATGGATCAAAGCCAAAACCATACTGTACAACAGCGAACACCCGCCTTTGTTGAAAGACCTCATGAAAGGAGGGGAGATGCGAGATCACCATCTGAGGAGAGGCCGCCTATCGACAGGCGTGTTAATCAACAATACGCGTACGATAACTGGCCGCAAGTACAAACATATGAGCTGCGCACTGTACAAGGTCCTCAAGGAAGCTATGCATGCAGAGAAAGCTCTCTGGAGAGGCATTTGCGGACGCAGTCCCTCAATCGACCACCACGTCAATACACATCGCCCCAAGACCATATGGGTGTTAAGGAAGTCTGAACAGGACTAAAGTCTGGTAACCTTTATGACCACATGACGACCTGCAGGCCTTGGACACCTACTCACACGGTGCTGCGCTGGACCTCTGCCCCCTGAGGGTCAGCATATTCATCCGTGATGGCACGCTCACGGGGTATTTTGCACCTCTTTGGATGATGTATACTCCCGGGTGTTGGATTGGGAACCAGAACATCCTTGTGGTGTTTTGGGCGCCTACCCTGGATTTGTTTTGAGAACGTTGGTGGTATAACTTTCCTTGACAGCCCGAATCCTGGTTGTGTCTTAAAGTACCCACTCTGTAGACGTGCATTGGGAACCTACCTTGGCAGTGTACTATGAACCTTCGGAATTCGTAGGGCGTCTTGGTTTTGCTTTTGGCTCTCACCCTCGGTGTGCACTGGGAACAGTATGAACAGTTCGTAGGACATCTTTGCTGTGCTAGTTGGCTCCTACGCTGGCTGGTCAAGGGAGACTTTCCCAGCTAACACACAACGTTTTCGCAACGTTTGTGGGTAGGTTGTAGATTGGTAACGTCATGACAGAACGTTAGTATTACGACATTTTATAACGTTATGTCACAACGTAATGACAACGTTGCAAATTTACGGTGACGAAAAGTTATGCTTTGGGCTCCTCACAACGTTATAACAACGTTTCTTATAACTTGGTGTCATAGAGTTCTCTGTAAAACCTTTCACTTTGAAATTCTTTCCTCACTCACTATTCAGATACAGTTGCCAAAACAACACGCAAATTGACGAATAAACATTGAAGTGAATTTCTGCTTTGTTTCTTATGTACTTCTAGACATACAGATCGACTTGTGTGATTTCTACTGCAAGATATACTCTTCAAAAACGTAGGATATACAAGACATACAGATCGACTTGTGTGATTTCTACTGCAAGATATACTCTTCAATAACGTAGGATATACAAGACATACAGATCGACTTGTGTGATTTCTACTGCAAGATATACTCTTCAAAAACGTAGGATATACAAGAGATACAGATCGACTTGTGTGATTTCTACTGCAAGATATACTCTTCAAAAACGTAGGATATACTCGGAAATGTTAGAACATAAACTTGTTTCATGTGGCAAATGGGATTATGTGACAAACAGCACATTAAGAAAGTTAAATGGATGTTTGACAACAGTTTTTTTCTACAAAATGTATAGGGTTTGTGTTTCTTGACGTGATGCACATAAACACTGATCCAGATTATGTACCACTGATCGATGTGACTGTTGAATCGCATCTCACTATGTAATGACAGCTGCTTTCTATTCAAAAGAACGTTTTGTTGAAGGATAAAGCTCTCTTTCACCGTCCATTTCAGCAACAATAACTTAACAATGTATAGCGACTGTCAGTATATCGTCATATTTGTACATTTGTCCGTATGTAAATTTTTGCATATCTCTCTCTAACTATCACGAAGAATAATTCAGTTGCGTCATGAACCTTTGGGCAATCGTGTCTGCGAGGTAATCGCCGCGAGCAGCTGTAACAATCGTGTCTGCGAGGTAATCGCCGCGAGCAGCTGTAACAATCGTGTCTGCGAGGTAATCGCCGCGAGCAGCTGTAACAATCGTGTCTGCGAGGTAATCGCCGCGAGCAGCTGTAACAATCGTGTCTGCGAGGTAATCGCCGCGAGCAGCTGTAACAATCGTGTCTGCGAGGTAATCGCCGCGAGCAGCTGTAACATTGCTGATGCGGCGTTAAGCAATATTCACTCACTCACTCTGCGAAGAAATGTAACAAAAATGTTCATTTACTGCACATCAGTTGGGGATAACAAGCATAGTTTACGAGCGCTTCGATTGTTGTATACCCCGCTCACGTTGTCTATGATGCAGAGCAGCCTCATGGTGCCAGGTTGGGTCTGTGGCCCAGTCGGTACCTCTACACAACAACTAATGAGTTTGTTTATATACATGCTGTTGCCCTTATAATATCAAGAAAATGTATATTGTTATGTGTCCACTTCCAGATTGAACAATATTTTATCCCGGAAATCTACGCGCAAAAGGATTCGACCCGTGAAGGTCCGGGTTAGAATATTGATCTTCAGTAACCCATACTTGTCGTAAGAGGCGATTAACGGGATCGGGTGGTCAGGCTCGCTGACTTGGTTGACACATGTCATTGGTTCCCATTTGCGCAGATCGATGCTCATGTTGTTGATGACTGGATTGTCTGGTCCAGACTCGATTATTGCAGCCCGACGCCATATAGCTGGAATATTGCTGAGGGCGGCATAAAACTAAATTCACTAGCTCAAGCCAAAGGATTCAGTACTAAAGCAAACACCAACCACGAAATGTTGTACAATCAACAGTTATGTAATAAATTAATTAATCTTAGAAATACGAATGATTGCAATGACACGGCACAACGGAGTGTCATTACAACATTCACTGGTTGTTCAGTTACAACAGCAATATAAAATATAAAAGAAGTGGTGAAAGCAGTAACATCAGTCATGATATTCAGCTGGCAGAACCACTTGTCACGTTTGTTAACTTGGCCATACGTGGGTAGTGTGCCAACTTACACTAGTCAACGGGGACACAACCAGGTGTTCCATGCAGCGTGACAAGAAATCTGTGAAGATTGTGTTAATAAAAGGAGAGCATATGAAGTTGATTCAACCTAAACAAAGAGATACAAAGAATTATGGAAGCTCATTGGGTACCATAAGACAATCATGACAAGGGGCAATGTTTGCATTTCAAAAGGTATGTGTAATATATGCAAGCCACAAAACAGATAGACAGACACATTTATTACAGTATAAGGCCTCGGACTACAGTATGGAAATCGATTGATAACGATTATTGCGTGCATTAAGTTTAGTTTTAAAGTATATGAGGTTACACGACGTGCGTTGAACACTTTGTACAGGAACATAGCTGTAGCTTGGAATGTTTTTATATCAGTGGATTGCAAATTTATGCAAAGTTGGATTTTCAAAGAAATATTGGCAGATATATGTTTTCCATAGATGGTGATACTTGGGGCAACACACGAGAACATGGTATTGATCTTCGATGAACTTTGCATTATTAGTTGTGCACATTTCACATAATCTTTGACTGCGAGGTATATTTTATGACGACCAGATTCTATTAATAAGTTGAAGTTGTTGCTACGGAATTTAGCTACAAGTATATACTTGATAAGATAAGGTTGGATATCACATGTAAGGTACTTTTCAACATCAAAGAGAGATGTATACAGCTTGTAGTTGCAACATTTTGTGTTGCCATGTAGAAATGCCAGTCCTCAATTAGATTATCTTTCAGTCGTTGCTTAAATTCCAATAAGAACAGATCAATGTTTCCCATTTCGTGTTGTATCCACACTTGTCCAAATCCCAGTTTAAACAGCATATTTCTGATATCAGAACCCCAAGTATAGCGACCTGTATCAAAAATGGTTTAATACCGTAGCTGCACTAATTGTAACTATGTTCAAACGTAGACTGTTCAACACTCCCAACTCCACTGTTATTTTAACTTAATGGTCTGTATGATATTTTAATGTAAATGCTTAAAGGTCACATGCAACGTAAAACACAACTTTGCAGATTCTGATACCTTTCGGTATGGACTTTCAGAAACAAATCATCAAAAATGCAAATTCAACTTATAAAGTTGAAAAATAACGCGATGAAAAAACCCGTGCGAAATCGGAGTTCAAACGATTCACTAATTTTCCCCCAGCGCTTGGGGGAAAAGTGGTTTCGACAGCTGGGCTGCGCTCATAGCACATGCGCAGTGAAATAGGTTCGCCCAGCTTGGAAGCGGGTTGTCCGGTGAATACTCGGTGAAGGCTTTGGTGTGAGCTATTTTTCTAATGTTTTGTTGATATTTCACAGGCGCGAGCTTTTTATATGTTATGACAGTAGATTACCGATTTAACTGTTTATATAATTTCATTTGTCTATTTCACCACACATTCTTCTTACCGAGTCACTTTTCAGTTCAATACTTAAAAGCAATGTCATTATTTAGTGTTGACAGAATTTCTAACTGTGATGTAGATATGTCGTTGTCACAGACAAAACTCAATGTCTGTTTTATTGACACCTGTGTGTCTGCCTGCCTGTCTGCTAATGACAATATTCAATACACAACTTCGATCACTGACCACATGCAATTTGAACTTAACACCTATCAGGCTATACACCATAAACAAAACGCATTGATTTATGGCCCGAGTTCGGTCTCTGTCAAATTATGTAATTACACAGACAGGCAGGTGTGATACTTGTACACATGACATGTTATGATGTTTGTTGATTGCAAAATGTGATACACAAAAAATGAGCATGTATTTACAAAACCCAACCTTTCTATATATACACACACAATTAGCCGTGAGGGCATCTGCATATGAACCAGCCGTTACACTTGAGTGCACACCCACCCGCTCTGACTGGGTTCGGTATTCCGGCTGCTTCGTTTCTTGGAAAGTAAACCCAAGTACAAAATATTGCACTTTTGATTTGCGATTGTACGCTTATAATTTTGTTTATATGTTTTTTCATAATCAGCAATGTATACTATATGTCATGAATAAGTGATGATTGTGTTTTAATTATGTTTGATTTTTTTGGTTGCATGTGACCTTTAACAATATATCTTAAACGTCTTATCTTAGCACCTATAGTGCTTTTAACATATTGTATCAATTGTCATTGGTTTCTAATAGGCCCAAGATGGCCAGTCGATCAACATATGAACCATTAAGTGAAAATGAACCCGTGTCGCTAGACACTCGAATAAATTATTTTTCGCATTATTTTTCTCTTTAATTATATAGTAGGCTTGGTAAGGGAGTTTTGAAGGTTCCAGATGGATAAGCCTGTACCAGAATTCAATAGCTATTGTCATACAAGGTAGCTGTAAGTAGGTTTTGTCCCATTCTCCAAAAGTCTAGCTTTGCTCAGTCCAAGAAATCTTCTGCAGAATTGAATGTGAACAGTCTCATAGCATAGTAAAGGAACTACTGTCCTTTCATACAATTTGAAAAGGTCGCAACAGTTGAATTTACCAAAATTATACTGGTATCGATAAATACTCTTCGCTTGAGATGCAGAACAATTTAGTGCTTTAGTCCACGAAGGTTTAGGCGTGAATACAATTCCCAGATACCTGTAATGGTTTACAACTTGTATTTCTTTCCCTTTAAAATACCACGTTTCTTAGTACCACAATGGGCCGCCGTTTCGAAACACTACTATTTTTGTTTTGTCTGAGTTAATTTTCATTCCAGTTTTATCACAAACATCTTCAAGAACATTGTTTTTCTTTTGTAGCTGCAGAGTAGTATCTGCTATCATTGATAGGTCGGCGGCGCATAGTAGTGCATATACATTTAAAATTTCAGTTGATATAAAAGTGCGATGACCACCATTTACTTCCAGCATGTTGACTAGTTGATTGATAAACATAGTAAATAATTTTGGACTTAGTATACATCCTTGACGAGTTCCCATGTTACACGTGAAATATTCTGAGAGACCTGTTCAAGTCTTCACACAAGCTGCTAATTTAACATAC